CGGTCTCATCATTCACGTTTGGATTCTCGTACGTGTACTCTGGATCTTCCCTGACCTGGCCCAAAATATGCGTGATTTGGTTGTTAACCTCGATGTCCTGGGCAGTTCTCCGAGAGTCCTCAATCATTTCTTTGAGGGCGGTGATGATGAGAATGACAATCAAGGGCACGGCGGCCAAAATGGGACTGGGGACACCGAAAATGGGGAATGCACCTAAAATGATGATAAACAAGAAGTACGAGTTGGCATAATCGGTGGTGAAACTTTTTGTGAGCATCTTGGGAGCAAACGAAAGTGGGGTGTATTTTGCCGAACGGGTCTTGTTTCTGGGGTAAGAAGTGGCCGCCTTTCCTGTTTTCGGATCAATCATCAGCAGCGGTAGCGAACGGTTAAAGAAAATAGTTCTTGTTTCATGCTTTTTGTCTTTGGAGTCGGGCGACGCCTCTGGGACCGGCTTGTCGTCCTGGTAATCGTCAATAATGTCTAGATCGCAGTCAGCAGACTGGCTTTCTTCTGTGGCTTTCAGGGGCAGTCTTTTTGATTTCGAACGGAGCACCTGCTTGAGTGTTTTCGCTCTCCCTAGCGACTCCTTCTTGGGCCGCCCCGTGGCGTGCCTGGTGGTACCCCATCGGAGGCGTTTCATAGGAGCTTGTGGATCAAATGATGCCAGCATAGGCAGGGAGGGTTCTTGAAAAGATTCCTGATTTGAGTCGGCAAAAGGAGACCTTAAGGATCCGTTTCTGGGCAAGGCGAAGCGTAAAGACGGTTTCTTCTTGACGTTGAGCTGTGGCAGCTGGACCGCCAGGTCGACCGTTTCTGAATCAGAAAACGTGTATGAGACCTCTGAGTCTGGATCCTGGAACGGCGATTTCAGAAATGACATATACGGATGCAAGGAGCTCGAGGCCGGGGGAAGTAATCAACTGGAAATGGGCGAAAAAAAGGCAAAAAAACCAACAACAGATCAAAACCACAGTAGTACTGGCGATGACCTATTTTCGGATCCGAATGGGTTGGACCGCGTTTTTTTGCGCCCTTACGCCTGCAGAGGATTACGAGATCTCGCGTCAAGGCACTGGCACCACTGGGGGTATGGAGGGAAGAGGATGGTTGGGGAAGCCGTTAATAGTTTATTAATCGTAAAAAAAAGTGGGAATCAAGCCTCTTTATATACCTCGGTGGGGCACTGCGGGGTTGGTGGAAAATGGACCCTCGCTGCGTCTTGCAGCCATAACCACTAAGGGCCTGTCTAGAAACCCCCAACCTTCATAACCCTTAGAATGGGGGATATTTGTCATTTTTTGTGATGCTGGCCAAAACGCAAAAGCCCTCTTTTTTAAAAATCAATCTCCATTATTCCCGGATCTGCCCCGCTAAACTTCACCCTCTAGACCCTAATAGCTGCAGGGACAGACATTGTCTGGTATTTGTCATTTTCAAAGCCTTGCTGGATTCTACAAAAAGTACTGGATGGATCCCGATACAGGCGGTTTTGTTAAATGGCTCCGTTTTCTATTGGTCTGTTTTGCAGCCGTCCTTCGTTTTCTGCAATTGAACAGAAAATGACTTGCCATTGTTTCCGGACTAGTCCGTCCAAACCCGCCATTGTCTCTGTATTATACTTTTTTCCCCCAAACCTTGTTTTTTTCATCTCATCTATTTGTAATCACCGGCTCGGAAAATAGGCTCCTCGCTTATTTCCCGTTAACCGCCATGCGCTGAGACACGGCACAGGCATTTTTTAGATTGTGGGTTTTTTATGGCTTGTAGCCTTGGCAAGGTAGAGAAGCGAGACGGTTGGCATTATTGAAGGGGCTGTGCTAGTCCGAGGGAGGTTTCTGGTGGTGTTCAATTGAATCCAATTTTGGGGTGTACGGTGGGATTCTGGATGATGTGGCTGAGTTTGTTACGTCTTTTAGATCTACTTAAAATGTTAAGTCTAATGTAAAAGGTTTCATGTTTTCGAGTTTTAGATGCGGTGGTCGAAGCATGCTTCCATGCCTATATGGCATTTAGGGCGTTTAGTCACAGTGTGGGGTGCAGCTGGTGATATCATAGGAATAGGCTGGTAAAGGGTCCTTTTGGTTTGAAGCCGATTTGGTGGTGTTTGGTGGGGTTTGGAATTTGGTGAGTTTTGGTGAGGTTTGGGGTTTCAGAAAGTGCCGAGGCGCTACTTTGCACCCTGATAAGGCACTCTGAAGAAGCAAATCTGAAACATAGCTTTGAAACATACAAATCCGAAACAGCGTCTCATGCTGAAACATCTTACATCCCACTGCCTCGTCAACATCTTTCCATTCTCATCATTTGAAGCACAGCCTCGGTAGTCAGGGTCCAAGGCTTGGCAATTTGCTTCCGCTGGTTACCAAGGCACCCTGGAGATAAGCTCGGAGATTGGCCAGTCTGCACAGGATAATTTAACTTCATTAATGCTGAGAATGTTCGTTGACATTTTGGGTCACATCTGGCATTTGACTGACTGCTCTAGTGAGACAAATCGATATGGATGCTCAAGAACCACAAAAAAAAAGTCCAAAACATGTTCAAGCAAGCAAACGAAACAATCATTATATGATTTTAAACATTATGACTCCCCTCCCTCCGACACCCTTACTTCAGATCAACCCCATTGGAACCCCACTCACTAGCCACAAGCAACCCACCCAAGCTCATAACCACACTTGCTCCACATGCCAAAAACCAACCCATTCTCAAATTCACCATCCAAACGACAATTCCAAAAAATAAATTTCCAAATCCCTTCAAAGCCCGGCTCCCTGGATGCCGATCTCCTACAGTGCACCTGCACATGCGCACGTCAAAAGTAGCACTACATGCCTGAGTATCAACACTTATCTACTATCTACCTCATCTTCCATAAATCATGCCTCGGTCTGCCGAGATCCGACGGACCGAAACCAGGCTCCGTGAGCTTGAAGCCGAGTCCCTTCACGAAGCTCTACCCGAGGGTTTCAACACCTCCCAGGAATCCATCAAAACAAAGCTTCCAAAACACATCCTGCCTCCACCTGCTGTTTCCACGCTTTTAAACATCGTCAATGGCGCCGTTTGGGGTGTCCTTGCACGTAAAGGGCTTATGGTGCTTACCACATATGACGGGACGTTTTTGGGTGGCGTCATCTGGGCCAATTTTGCTGCTTGTGTTGTTATGGGTATGTTTGTCGCTCTGGACCGAGTCTGGAGCAGATTAACCGAGCACGCTTTTGCCAATAAGGGCGTCATTCCTATCTACGTGGGTGTCACTACCGGATTCTGTGGCACCTGTTCCTCCTTTTCCACTTTTATCCTTGAATGCTTCAACAAGGCTGCTAATACGCTTCCTCAACAGTATAATTATCCTACAGCCGGCTACGGCGTTATGGAAGCATTGGCCGTGGCTATAGCCCATGTGAGTGTTTCTGCATCTGGCTTTCACTTGGGAAAACACCTCATGGAGTACCTCGATGGTAGGGTTCCGGTTCTTTCGCTTAAAGCATTCAACACACTCAATTTGTTGAGTTGTGTCATCGGCATTGCCGCCTACATCGTCGTCATTGTGCTTATTTGCACGCAAAACTACGGGTCCTGGCGCCTGTGGCTTTTCCTGGTGCTTTTCGCTCCGTGGGGTGCTATTCTACGGTACTACCTTCTGAAATTTCTCAACAGCAAAGTCCCCAATTTTCCCATGGGCACGTTTGCCGCCAACACAATCGGATGTCTCCTTCTCGCTGTTTTCACTTTAATTGCTCGTGGACGCAGCCTTGGTGATCGGAGTGTTCAAATCGTCACCAACGTCGTTGGGTGCCACGTGCTCATGGGTCTTGATGACGGCTTCTGCGGTGCCCTCACTACGGTGTCGACATTTGTCGTGGAGCTTTTCGGTCTCTCGACGCTTTACAGTTATGTCTACGGTACGGTTTCTGTTGCCGTTGGCTTTTGCATAATGGTCTTGTTGCTTGGCTCGTATAATTGGGCTGTTGGCCTTCTTCCCGCCGTCTGCTGAAGATGTTGTCTCTATGGGTTATTCTGTCCTGATATTAATCTCGAGAGGTGGATGCGAGTAGGAGGTTACAGCAAACGACAGCGAGCAACGCCAGATAAACATATAGAATTAATAACATAGTGCATGAGATCCGCAAGACGTAGCTGTACGATAAATTTTTTTTATGTTGAAAATAATGCATATTTTTATTTTATGTCAAGTTTTCAAGTTTTCAGGGTCTGGCTATGTAGATGCGAAATGAGTATAGCCTCTACATTTCATAATTTTTGTGAAGAATACAGAACAATGGAAAAAAAAAATCTTACTTATATTCCGACAAAATCAAAATGATTCAGAAATTGCACTTTGCATAGTATTAGCTATATTCCCGACACCTAGCAGCAGCCTATGCATTTGGATTACTCATTTCCATGAAGTCTCGAAACCACATTATCATGGTTATTTGACATGACTATTAATTTGACGAGACTCAAATTTCACGAATGGCGCTAATTCACTGACTCCGGGCACCATGGCACGTTCGTTTACGTAAATCGCTACGCTTGGAGCCCAAGCAATCAATAGCTCAGGCCCATATCCAAATCAATATTCTATTATGCTAACAGGTACTCATGAAGCACCGGAGGTCGCCCGCCAGTGGCCAGGGAGTGGACAACAAGTGAACCGCCACATACAGCCTCGTCCTCGAGATACTCTGGCAGTCTGGCCTGTGGCTTTCAACACTCAGCCCACGTTATCGGATCCACACATAGCTCGAGCAGCCAAGCGCCAACTTCTTGCTTTAAGATAACCTAGGACTTCCGGCTCTCAAGCTTTCAATTTAATCTCCCGGAGCAAGCTGTCTGATCTCCCAGAACAAACCGTTCAATCTCCAACGAAGGACACTCTCATGACGCAGTGCATCTCTCCACGGCCCAATTCTCATCTCCCCGGCCACAGCACCACCAGTGGCGCCGGCACAGGCAACCTAACCGCCAGACCGCCCACACGTGCCGTCTCATTTGGGCACAGCGTACTTCTCGGTCCACTCCTTGGCCACCTCGATGGCCTTCTGCTCGTCCGCCTTCCAGTCTTGCGCCACGTCATTCGCCAACGGGTCGTCCGGGTTAGGTGCTCCCAAAAGCGCCTGGATACTCAACAAAATCGTTCTGATCTGAAGCGCCGGAGACCAGTTGTCTTTGAGCACGTCGAGGCAGATCCGGCCCAACTTGTCGATGTTGGGGTGGTAGATTTTCGTAAGAAAGCGGACTTTCGGAGCACACATGGGGTAGTCGTCGGGAAGGTAGAGCTCTAGCTTGAACACACCATTGGCGTAAGGAGACGAGTTGGGACCGTCGATGGTCACCTCGAAATAACGCAAGTTGTCATCCAGAGGCGTTGCCGTGATGCCTGGAACAGGGTCGCTGACAAGACGCTCGGTTTCTTTTATGATTCTTTTGGGCAAGGCCGCCATTGGTGAAGTGGTATGGTTAGTGAGGCACTTTTGCCTGGGGATATAGCCGGGGTCGTGCGGTGCTCATAAGGGGGGTGGCCAACGTTGGTTGAGTTTAGTGGTTATGGGGGATGCGTTAAAAGGATGAATCCGGTTTTAAGTGTATTGTGATGCTGGTGTTTAATGGGAGATGGAAGCTTTTTGAGCTTGGTGGGCACTTGAAGTGTGCAAAGGTTTTGGTAGGGTGTTGCATGGGAAATGTGGTTGCGAAATGGGTAAGTGAGTCTAGGGAGATGAAGGGCAATTGACGGAAAAAAGAACAGTAATTGGCTTCGAAGTTATTTTATGATATGAGTTTGAAGATCCAGAGGCGAATAGGGTAGAAATGTAAGTGTCTTGAGGTCTTCGGTAATGCAGTAATTTGAGACTATGGAGTGGCATGAGAACCTAGCAGTCGAGGACTTTGATGATCAAATTGTAGCAAAGGTTATGAAAAAGTTGACTGTTCATGAAGAAATGTAGTCAATCTCGAAAATATGACCCTCGTTAGTAAACAACTGGTTGGCATGGTTTCAGAAATCGCTGTTTGACATTACAAAGTTTATTTGGAGACCACTTTCCTTAGTCGGACGTTTTGACAAATGAGCAGAGCTAGACATCCTAACTTTATTTTGTGAAAAAGCAAATTCTTCGACCCAGTCTTCCAATCCACCATATCATCACCCAATTATGTGAATAAAAATCCCTTTCGTGGGCCTCCCTGACTATCCCACCTACTTCCTCGAAGCCGTTTGCCAAGCTTCCAGCATAAACACAGAGTGACCCAAAACACCTTAATTACACTTGAAGTGGGGGTGTCCACCTGTTAAAAATTTATGTGGAATAAGTTTTATAAAAAAATAGAGATCGACTTACCAACCCTGAATCTACTGATCAGCCCTACCTCCAAATCAACCATCCAAAGCTTATTCGTAAAATTTTCACCAAATCCAAACATCAACTTCTACCGGACCCATCGCCCACACAAGCCCGCACAATGACTGCCAAAACGGCTTTTACCCAAACATTCACCATCCCCACAAAACCACCCAAAGCCCCCATTTCATTGGTCAAAAGTTTGTCTCAGAATCTGCAGAAGAGGAGCTGCAAAATGGCGCTGGCTGTCAGTGGCCGTAAACGCTCATGTCAGTAGCCAATTAGGCTTTGGTATTCTCCAGGATGCATTGTCGTAGCAGCATGACTAACGCAGAGTCTCGGCGGTAGCTCCGAGATGCTTTGTTTTAATAACGTAAACAGGCATTCTATGGAAACTCTAAGCGCATCAAGAAAAGCGTATCCTGGCTCTACAAACAAGGCGGGGTGGGGTGGTCTGATAAGCCAACGGCGCCAAGCTGAAAAGGTCAGGATTTACGAAAGTTAAAAATCGATTTACCTAGGGCTTACTTAGCTTTAATTAGTTATAGTTGAAGTGACGATCACCAAATGGTAAGCCACCGTCAAAATTTTTCACTAAATCCACACAATGAGCTAAATAGCATTCTGAAACGTTAGACCCCAGAATCAGGCGGTTTCTGTGCATTATCGCCAAGTTGCCATTATCCCCAGGTGGCCCAAATTGGAAGCCTTATTGTTGCATTTACGCATAGAACGCTATGGCCAATCAATAACGAGGCTTGCCAAAAAGCGAAACTTAGATTTGTGAGAGAGTTCCTCGGGCTTAAGCTTCCTGGGAACGTCCAAAAACTTGTCACACTAAATCGCATTCCTATTCTCCGGAACTTTCCCCTGAATGGCTATCGTTGACATATTTTCAAGCACACCGTATTGCCGAGGGCTGGTGGACACTTCCTGGATAGGCAAGCGAGGCTGCTGCCTGCAGGACGGCTCGCGAGAGCACCTTCCCGATTAGGTAATTGTCAAGACGTAATGGCTGCAAGAACCATAACCTCCCCAGTAAGTATCTCCCAAATCGGGTAATTACCCATTGTCTCCTTCCCCATCAGGGTCCCTAAATCTTTCTATGGCCAACGGCGACCTGCCTGTTTGGGCAATGGAGGGGCAAAGGGCCAGCAGTGGGGCACTTTTCTGAAACCTTATATAGCTCTGCAGGGTCCGCCGTTTTTTGTTTCGGTTTTGCACTTCGGAGATTTGCCGGGTCATAAAAGTGATTTATCGAAATACCTTCAAGCTATACATTTAAACATTCAGTTATCCTAGCATTCAAGCATCTAGCATCCTAGCATCCTAGCATCCTAGCATATATCCAGATCCACAAGGTTATTATTACTACCCTCCACACTATCCCATCCAAAGCACATTCACAACATCCCAATCCATTTGTGTTACCTCCTCATATTCCCAAAGGAGAAAACAAATTAGCATCTTAACTCGCCTTGCATCCACCCTTGCATCCATTTCGCAGCCGTTCTATCCATATAAGAGCCACGGTTTCCAGCACTCCATCCCACAGCATTAGTAAATCAATTTAAATTACAGAAATACAAAAGTCACCCGGAAAAATCCATCTTTCCATATAATTTTACCCAAATCTGAACCACCCATCCAGATTCACGTCCTACATCCTCATCGCGAAAAAATCACATTCACTTTCACGGTATCAGACCATCAGTGACCACAACCAGCAAATTCCATAAATCTCCGAAAGTTCCTACAAACACATTTTCAGCTATTAATTCAAACATGCCCCCAAACACAAAACTTCCTCCTTCTTCGCCCATCTCGCACAAAATCGTCGTGGGTACCCTTGCAACTCTCATTGGAGCCTATGCTTTCTGGCAGGTTGGTAAGGATTTCCAGTTTGTCAAGTTCGAGCCTAGACTGCCTGAGGAGATTGAAAAACGCCGGAAAGAGGGCACCGGATTGGAGATTCGTTCTTTGGAGACCAGAAGCTTGGAGTATACAGATGAAGCCAAGGCTCGGTTGAAACGGAAGTTTGAGGAGGGCGAGAAGAAGTGATTTTGGGGGGTTGAATAAACGGATCGAGGCGTTTTTTTTTTTGAGTCGTTGGGCTTAAAGAGTTCGTCGTTGAGGCTCGAAAAGTACGATCGGTGAGATGTCTCGATAAGATACCAGCAGAACATCATTTCAGGAACCAAGAGATCGAAGTTCTTCGAGGCATTCAAGCGCATCAAGGCATCCAAGTCTGTTAGGCAATCATTTTGTGAACTTCTGCCCAAAGCATTGTCAAAAAGCCATCGTTCTCATTGGATTATCGTTGACCTTACTGGAACTTGATGAAACCACTCAGCAGTGAGAGGAGCCACAACAAAACATTGAAAGACAATTCAAATTTGAAGCTTTAACATCAGATCATCGTCTCCAGTTGAATCAATCAATCCATTATATCGCCTATTAGCATCAAGCTTTCAGGTCCGATACCTGAAGAATCTGTCGAGACCTCCCATTCATCAGTCAACGTCAGAGGAAGTCAACAACTGACTAGGCCATCGCTGCCACTGCTCCATTGTCCTCAAACCTCGAAGCCCAACGGTCTTGACCCTTCCCTGAATGTAACGTTGCATTCACCGTACAACCGTTGGTCTTGGACCTCCACCACTTCCTGATTTCATCCCAAATCCAGCCAACGTCGTCAACACCCCCGTCGTCAAGCACTTTTCAGCAAAAGACGCAAATACACAATTCCTCCAAAGTGCCCGGAAAAAGCTCAATTCCACAACCAAATCCTCCGTCCTCCCCGGATTTTCATCAGACCACAACGGGACTGCCCCGTAACGCCTCAAACCAACCTACCCTAACGCAAAAAACGCTCAATTCCATTCTGGAAAATCGCTAATCCCACCGGGAGAGGATCCTGAAAAATTCCCATTATCGACCTTAGCTCATTGGCCCATCTGACGATGAATGCACTCCTCCGTAACCTCGCCTGTGGGAAGATCTACACAATTTCGTTGCACCCATCGGGGATCTACGAAGGGCTCGGTTCAAAGGAAATTCTCCAGTCCATTATCGGCTGATACGGCGAGCGGAATTAAGTGGAATTAAGACGTTTGTTACTCAAACGGCCTTTCACCAACCCCTTGTTGCCAATCCCCCAATCCAGGTGGAGGTAATCTCCTACAGGTGCCGAAACAGAAACGGTGACATCACTTGGCACTGCGGGGGCTCCATTGGTCCGATCCTGGAACAGCGTCGTTTCTTTTTTTGCAAAGCGACCGAGGGGTCAAGGTGCCGTTGACTAAACGGGCGCCCCACTTCGTTTGAGGCGGTACTAGTGGGGAGGTAATTTTTCGCTTTTTCACCCAAGTCCCTGTGCGGCGCGCAGGCTGCCCTTTCGTATGGCGCACCCGTACACCACCTCATGCACCATTACACCACCCCCACCTTTCAGAGAAGTTCGCTAAAGCGGCTGAACGGGAAGGGGTTTTGGCACGATTTTGACATGGCCAGGTTGCTGCTTCCCGCCTTTATTGGGCTGCTTTTGTCCCGGTGGAATACACCCATTGCACCACCATCAAGTGAGGACTTCCCCTATGCGGAGAGATCGTCAACATTACACAAAGAGGCTGATAACGCCAGAGATCTCTAGTCGACGATCTGCAGGACATGCGCATTTCGGCCTAAACGGGCAAGCTAATGGGTTGCGCGTGCCGTGACGCGTACTGCACAATGCTCATGAACGGGAGCACGGCAGCGTTTAAACATGTCGAAGAGAAAAATTGAGAATGGCACAATTGGGCCCCTCCAAGCACCTCGTTAAACCCGCCGCCCACCACGGACGTCCGACTTTTGCATTTTCGAGAAATTACACTTTAACCTTTAATTTGTCGATCCTTTGAGAAAATACCCTATCTGGAAGAGTAATAACAGCAATATTATTTGAGGGTGCTGCCGGGTCGGGTGGCTAAAATAGTGACGTCGGCGGCTCAAATGGGCCGGGCTGAGAGGTTAGATGGACGGGGACTGCACACAAGCCTTTTTTTTCGGTTCTCCTCACGCCAAACGAGAGATAGCACATACAAAAAAAAATGCGGAGAAGAATAACGCACCTCGCGGGCACTCCCCTCGCCCGCAAAGGGCTTGACTTCATCCCACCCCGCCGTGAGTTGCGCCCGGAACTTGCAGTAGGGGATTCGAGGCGAGGACTAAAAGGGAAAGTGGGGGAGGTGAAAGCGACGTTCGATGCATCCCAGAGAACTGAAAGCACCATACCCAAAAGTACCACCATAGGAGACGCATAATCAGTTTGTTGGGTGGCCAAAAAGTCCGAGATCCAAAAGAGCAAATGAAGATGGCGCAAAAAGCAGCAACGCCTGCTGCCACCCTTGCCTGGGACGTGTGCAGGCTTGCAGGGGTCTGGGTTGCCCCATTAGGCCGCGTGCATATCGTATATCTGCAAGCACTGAAAAGAGGGGATTGCCTAATTAGGCCGGGCGTCGTCTCGTCTCCTTGGAAAAGCCATGTCACAATCAAACCTGGCCGGATGCTGACCCCCTCCCGGCGCCCCTGAACTAACGCCCGTCATCGTCCTGCCGATTTGTGCATGGTCGTACCAAACGAGAATTCATGGAAATGTTGCAATTATCTGAAAAACGAAAAGAGCTACGCAAAAACTGACACCACCACCGACTTCTACGGCCCAAAATGGACCCGGGTATGTGAATGAGTTTCACCTTGTTCCACGACATTGCCTGGAAATATCGACAATTCATTCTCGCGGCCATCGGCTGCAAAGCGATTAATTGGGCCACTTTTGGAGGATCGACGCCTTTTATGGATCGGCCTAGCTAGCGAGCCACAATGGCCCATTCTAATTAGGTTCTTGTTTGCCCGGTTGTTACTTGTTTGGCTTTTTCTTCCGTTGTTCATTATTGAAAAAAAGCTTAATTACACGAGAAGTTTACGAGAAACTTTCTGGTGGGACCAGTGCAAACCTGAAATTCGGCCGGTGTTCCAGAAATTCCCGCTGCCGCCCTATCCGGGCCTCTAGTATTAGCAGCCTTGCTTCGGAGGGGTGGATATTGAGGTTTCATGGATTCTCCACTTGCGCATACACATGCCTGAGCACTTGCCCGAATAGGGTGCGGAGTATGCAGAGTACTGCGCGCAATTTACCCGATCAGGTAAAGAAGGTGCAGCCTACCCAACTAGGAAATATAACAACTCCAGACCCCCAAACGACGAGACAAGCTGGTCTTATAGTGGTGGCACGAGAAACCACCCAACTGGACCTGGCTGAAGAGGTCCATGTGGTTTGCTGCATGCCAAACCTCGAAAATCATACAATAACGCCGGGCCAATGCCCAGGATGCCTATTTAGTCAAATGTCGTGCATACAGCCGCCGGACAGTATTATGGGATTTCCGCTTGGGTCGACAAAGCGGCCCCTGTGCAGCGCCCGCATCGCCCGATCTGCAGGCCGTGCAGAGAGTTGCAAAATCACCATCAGAATCCATATAAATGGGCCCTCCTCCCCCCGTCCAAAAAAACTTCCTATCCCATCAATTAATCATGCACGTGCTCCCCCCAGCCAACGGCACGAAGCTCTGGAGAATCAAAAGACTGGTTCTGGGCCTGCCTTCTTCAGCAGATGCCTCTTCCTCTCTCGAATGCTACAACTCGTCTCAAAGAATCCTGGCAGCAGGCAAGCAATTCATGCTGAGGAGACCTCCTCTCAAGAGACCAAAGTCCAAGCCGGGAATGCCCAAGGACTTTGTGTTTGTCGACCTTTCGCCCGTCAAGTCAGAGGAGAAGCTCTCGGAAGAGAATGTGGAGAAGCTTCCTGGCAACGAAAGCGATGTTTCATCGCCCACTGTCGACACGGTTTTCTCGGAGAACTCGCCCACCCTGAGCTTCCTGAGCTTCTCCAACTACAACTACGCGTCCGACGACTTGTACGGACCCTGCTTTGACGAGAGTCTTCTTGGTCTTGGCCTCATGGGTGTTGATTTCCCAGAACAGGTGCAACCACAGCAGGCTCCTCCACAGCAGAATGTCACGCCTCCACAGCAGACCTTCCCTCAGTTTGACATGTCTTTTGGTCAAGTGAGCCCCATTTCCCCTACACAGCTGAATGTTCCTAGCGAACCTCAGTCACAGCCTCAGCAGCAGGCCCAGCACAAGAGAAGAAAGTCCGCTGGCGGATTCACCTTCAAGAGCTACACGGGGCCCAATGGCGGCGTTAAGAAGAGAAAGTCGCAGAACCACAGAAGATGCTTTTCTGAACCAGCCAAGAAACAGCAGCAGGCTCCCACGCCGCCTCTGATGGAGGAGTTTTTGCACATGCCCAAGGTGGAGAAATTCGACGGTTTCGACTTGAGCATGGTGGACGAGATGGGTGCTTTTGCCTACGGTGAGGACAGATTCAAGGAGGAGTTTGACTTGCAGAAGTACCTCTCGATCTGATTCCCATAGACAGAATACCCAGAATTACAGTCCATTTCATCAGTTGCATCTCGTTGACCGAGACGTGACTCCACATTCGGTTTCGATACACCAGGATTCTTACAGCTACCCCAGCTTTCATTCACACCCGACACTTACTTCGCTTTACAACACTACAGTCATTTTCGAACTTTCTTTCGACTTCGCCATTTCGTTTCAATCGCTTACTTTAAGCACCGCTTACTTTCAAAGCATTTCCTTCTTGCGAGACCCTCGCTGATTCTTAGGCTACAAGAATCTTTCTTTTCGGTTTCTGCCCCAGCGTTCGAGACGTCCCTTGGACTGGCTCACGCCACGGCCTTTTTTTTTTGGAAAATTCCCCCTTCGCCGGACCCTTTTGCACCTTCGCCTTTTCGCTACTATTTTTGCACCTTCGCTATTTTGGAACCTTCCCGCTTTTCCTTGGATTATTGTCTTGATACCCTTTTCGGTTGCATGCATTATGGACTTTCGTCTCCTTTCGTGTGGGCCCTGCCCTTTTCGTCGCATCTTATTTATATCTTGCCCAATGGGGCCTATGATCCCAACGCTTCGCTACTCAGCTATACCCTCGTTGCCATGTACATTAATGAACAGATAGATTTATGGAAGTGTAGAAGAAGATTTTCAGCAGCTTTACCCTGGAATCTGCCACTCGCCCGCCTCTCCTTCCGAGAATGCCGTTGCCTCTTTTAGCCTCCTTCCTTTTGCAGCCACCTTGTCCAAGGCCCAAACCCAAAAAGCTTCAATTGTTCTGTAAAATGTTCTGTAAATTGTTCTGTGGAGCTTCCTCCTCGTCATTCTCCAGAAGGCTCGTGCCCTGCCCTATTAGTCGTCGTCGAGTAGAGCTCATTGTTCCTGATTTCTCGGCTCCGTGCCAACATAACCGCCATTGATGGAGGCGCCTGCCGGGCCGTAGTGTACAGCGTTTGGCATTGGCGGCGGCACGGGCTGCACGTAGCGGAGGAACTGATGCAAACAAGAAATGGGCGATTTTGGAGTATTGAGGTTGAGGTTTGGTGACAATGGATCTAGCGAAGCCAATGATTTTGGAAGATATGGAAACCACAGAAATGGAAACTACAGAAACGGAAGAACAAGGAGAACAAGGCAGCTATTTGGGGGTTTCTGGCCTGATGTGGCTGAATGGGGTGGGTGCAAAAGAGCCTTCTCTATAGAGGCCTTTGGAGACATTCCACGATGCCGTTTCCACGGCACACGACGGTTCAGCACAAGCCCAACTTTCCATTCGGTTAAGCCAAAATTCTACATTCTCCTGGTCTACGCCTCCTCCATCAACACCATGGTGTGGCCCCTTTAGGATCCATCTAGCATCCGTAAAAGCGCATCCACAAGGGCCCCGAACCAGAGCCCAGAAACCAAAAAATCCACCGAATTCACCAAATCCAGGGATGTCGGTCCCGCCGCCATCGCCAAAACCGCTTTTGCGTTTCCTGCCCAAACGGCTCCGCTTGTCATCTCCACATTTCGCTTATTATCGCCAGGCAGAAACCCCCCAAACCATGCTGCAACGTTGGTCGCCTAAATGGCCCAGGGCTCAATTCCAAGCCTAACAAGACCTGGCCTATCATGTTGCTGCTTTTCCAGGAATGTTCGCCTAACCAGATCCACCGTTCTTCCCCACCCTGAAACAACCGCTGTGCTTACGCTGTTTGCAGCCATTCTCCCCGCTCGAACCTGCCCGGTTTGTGATCAAGGAAGGTCACGAAGGGGTTGGCGGATGTTGGAGGAAGCACGGATTCCGTTTTTGCGTTTGTTCGGTGGATTTTGCTTGGAAACGGTGGATCTGTGGATTTGAGGTTTTGGGAGGTGGTGAGCAACCGACGGTTTTGATATCGGTGTTGGAAAAAGGAGACATTTTGTGATTGCTGGTTTGGAGAGTCGGGGATACACCGGGTCGAGGTGGATATTGTGGTCTTGATGGGCTAGCAGAGGTTGTGGAACGGTAAGGTTTGGAACGGTAAAGTTTGGAACATGACGAAAAAGAGGATAAATCTACCAGAAACGGAGAAAAGCAAACGCTTAAGATTTAGGCTCTAGCTTCGGTGCTGCTTTCTGGGCTGCTTTCTTTTGTTTCGGTTGGCTTCGTCGCTTTATTCGTGACTTCCTACCCAGAGATCCAGACCACCATCGTCAAGTCTAATGCTGGACCCGGAGGGCAGGGATGTGATGGTGAAAACAACACATTTCGTGTTATACGGTAAAGAGTTACAGGGAATGGACATGTGTGTGATTAGTGGTTATCAAATACAAAGCGGACGATATGGAGAGAAGTACTAGATTCCACGGCATCTAAGTGGGAGGCATAGGGGAAGAATTAACATACAACCAACCAAGTGATCGATGCAGACCCGGTTTGAATTTTAACGGACCAGAGTACCATATTGAAAGTCGTCCTTGGGAGAGCTCTTTGGCACACTAGACTCACCAGACCATTACATCACTGACACCGGTTTTGACATGTCACCAAGATCAACACTGAAATGAAAGCCAGAAAGCCCGCAAGAAGAGAATCTTTGGCTTACTATCATCCAAAAAGTCCTTAGAAGTGTGCTACTTTACCTTACATCCTTGGGTGCAAATGGTAGAGATGATCTCAGTCCCACGGACCAGCAGCACTATCTGATAATTGTCCAGTAAATTACCGTAGCCTTCTCTTGACTCTTGAATCCCTAAAAAGACACAATTCTCCAAATCCCCAAATCCCCAAAAGTGTCATTCTGGGTGGTAGTACATCACCATGATAGGCTCTCACCACTACAGTACTACCATGCCCCATTCCACCAAACCATGCCAGTCTACAAACTTTCAACCCTCAACCCCATAAAGGCACAATCTCTACAACAAATAGCACTATCCCCATCACAGTACGACCTCTTGTCCTTCCTCCCCCTCAGTACCTACCCTTCTACCTCTCACCACCAACCATCCATCCACCCATCCATTCATCCTTCCAACCACCAAAGTACCACCAAAGTACCACCCACCAAAAATCAGGAAATCCACTTTCGCTCCATCTTCATCCAAAATTAGCAACCACCTCGTTTGGTCGGCCCCCTAGTGCCCTAGAGGCTCAGAACCGTCCACCCCATCCGAGGAGGATCCCTGAATTGCACCTCGTCTAGCCCGACAAAGCCGTATTGAACTTCAGAAGCCCCTGCCCAATCCGTCCTCTCCTTCCTCTTTGGCTCCTCGTCTCTTTGCCTGTTTAGGCTGGAGGCTCAGTAGCCGAGCCACGATCGACATTAGAGGTTGAAACCACGCATGGGTCGGACGCTGGGGGCCTAATTGGGCGGGGCTTTTTTTGGTTTAAGAGGGTGGAGGCTTTGGAGGTTTGGTGGTTTTGGGACACTATGGCGAGGCGGTGATAAGCTGGATTGGGGTCCTGAGGTTCCCGAAATAATATGGGAGGGTTGAAGGGACAGCAGTTCAGGGAGGTTGGGGCATTAGTTCAGGAGGAGAGGGTTCCATTGGGGGTTCTGGGGATTTCCAGAATTTTCATGAAGTTTGATGAAGAGACTTCTTAGGTGTTGGAGGGTGATATCACTGGAGGTGGATACCATCTACTAGGATAAATGGAGAACAGAAACAGAGAGATTTACCGGGGAAGCACAATTTCGAACTTTTCAAAACGGCTTACAATGACACTGGCCCAATTAACCCGAGACGTGCTCCGTGGAATGCAATTCGTCTCCATAGATCGGTCCATAGATCGGTGGTTTCTCCGGATTGTGGTATGGAAGATCCATTCCAGAAACATACTCCGACCAGCGGAGCAGAGCCGAACAGATGATCAAAAAGCAGCAAAAAGTGCATCAGCAGAATGAGAAAATTAACCGGTTACGTTCGTTTTTTGGTTCAATCACCCTTTGTTGGGAAGTGCCCTGCTTCTGTTGATCAACACCAGAATAGTCTTTTCAGCATATACCCGGTCTTGCAGAACGAAATGTCGTACATCAGAATCTGCGGCTGGAAAGATTATTTGTGCTGGGTTTGTTGGGCATTGTGCTCGAAAGGTGAGTTTTTCAGTGGTGACTACGAGTCACCGATGACTGTGAGTCAGGCGTGCCTCAGACCACCAGGAGGGTAATGTACAGCTTGACTGATATATACGAGGCGAGAAAAAGAAAAGTCACCGAATTTTTGAATTGTGCCTAATACGGCTGAATTTGGAGGAGACGTTTTTTCAGGGTGGATGATTATACCTATGACTTAGCACTTCCTAGTACAGGCTAAATATTACAGGCTACGTAATTGAAACTACTCTTTCAAAAAAAGCAGGTCGTGGATCTTTAGAGCCTTTCATGCCAATAGAGCTCGATGGAAGAGAAGAACTTTCGAAGGATCTAGGCGAAAGCAACTCGCAAGTACCATCATTCATTGTCGAGAGTGAAAAGCCACCATGTCAACAACGGCGTGAATAAAATAAGCGAGTCCAAATGAACCTTTTTCGAGAAAGCCTTTAAATCTCGTTTGGTGTGGGTTTGGTCATTTTTTCCAGAAATGACACCCTACTTTGCTATGCGTTCGGAGGATGAGAGATATCTACTAGAATTTCAGAGATCTGATTGGCTAGGGGAGTCCCTATTTCGAACAACATCAACGACATCAAGAACATCATCCTAATATGACTTTGAGTATAACAGATAAAATCTCCTAAATTATGATTTTTTTCAGATGTAGTGGACTTCTTCCCTCATCGACCACCATTACGTCATGATGACGTTCACATGGTCAGAGTCTCCGGACCACCAGGATTAGAAGATCAGCATGATCTGTGAAATTCGATACCTTTCAGTAAATTCCGCTTAAAATATTTTGTAAAATTTCTCGTAACAACGACGATCCCACTACATGTCAAATGAGCCTTCTCTAAACCACACCAAAAACACTCTTTTTTGATTTTACTCTTCGATAATTACAACAAGGCCGAGGAACCGAACTACCGAAGGCGAGTTTCGGAAGGCCCAAAAGCAGCAAAACTCATTGGATACTTAACCTCTTAGTAAAATGGCTCAAATGGAAGGTTATGAGCAAAAGCTGAACCTTCTCAGCCTCATACATGCAACCGAAAGAATAACTTTAAAACCACCGATGCCCATAATCAGCCGCTTAATCGAAATAGGAACTCCATAAACAGCAACCTCTATTTTACAACACCACCAAAACTGAACCACCATGCTACACAGATTTGACTAATCTGACGCACCTGGGCCGATAACCATCCATACATATCCACAAGATGCAACACTCAAATTAAACTTTACACGCTACCATAAAGCTTGCTTTCCAAAGCCGTGTTTACATTTTCTACAGAGAGCCACACCGGCTCAAACCTTATTTGTGTTACATTTCGGGTTCCTAGCCGTCCTCCCGAATGACCTAAAACTTCAATAAAATCGAAAAATACAACACCCCTGAAATCCACAAAACCTGTCCTGCTTTCTTCGTCTCCACATTGTCTTCTCCAGTTTCCCCATGCCTCCAACGTCCGTTTCCGCCTTATTCTGATTCTCCTCTGTTAGCGCCAAAAGCCTACTGTCTAAAAATCGCCATATTGTGTAAACCATAGTAAATCGCCACATTGTGCAAAACGAACAATGTCAAAATAGCGGCGCCCGGTCCGTATCAGCCCCGTAATCCACCGACGCTGATTTGCTGCTCCGCCATTGTCTAACCTTCACTGGTCATTTTTGCTTTACAATACCACCTCCGTTTATTATACAAATACAATGCTGCCCCGGTCGGGAGCAAAATTAAGAAAAAGAAAGACGACACTTAGCGGCTCTTTTTTTTGCAAAGAAGCCCGGATCCCCCAGAAAGTTCCCCATTCGTCCACAACGCCGAGAAGGCTAACCCCATCCGGAAGCACAAGCGCTAGTCCGCTGAGCCGTTGCATTAGTCTGTTGCGCAGAGTGACTGGACATAGTTATTGTGTCAAAACAAAGACACTCTCGGACCCCTCAGTCGGTGATTCTGGCCACACACATTGGGGGCGGAGCCTGTTTCGTATCTGCTGAAAGATCTTCAGATCGACAAGCGAGAACAAGCGAACGCTCAAGTGCCGTATGGAAAAGGAGGCCCCTGAGTACCCTCCTTCTGGAAAACCCTCGTCTGACAAGACTCTTCTCTTCACCAATTAAGCACCTCCCGGAGCGAACTGACTTTTTCCTCCTTGACAGGGACATTGTCTGGCTTCTGAGGCTCGGGAGCCACCTCGGCCTTCTCGGTCGTCTCGGCCTTCTCTGTAACCGGCTGGGTCCCCTCGATTTCGGCCTCCATGTGATCGCTGCCGGCTGGACTGGGGCTGTTTTCGGGCCGCTCCATTAGCTCCGTCAATTTTTGGAGCTGGGAGTTCATCACCGCAGCGTGTCGTCTCATCATATGGACAACTTCGTCGTGGAAACGGCGGTTTTCAGACATGATGTTGCGCAAGAGCCCCACCGTGGTGGGGTCCTCGGAGATCAGCAGCAGATCCAACCGTTCCGTCAGAATCTGGCTCGAGTAGCCCAGGTACGCCAGCAGCAGCGAAAGCTGAGACGCTCCCAGCAGTCGGCGTCGTTTGAAGTCGCCAAGATGTGGATCAACTTCGTCCTTGACATGCGGCGGTAACGGTCCCACCATCTGTCCGCTTTTGTACGCTTCGCTCAAGTCGTGAAGCTCCAAAACCGCTAGCTCCAAGTCAGGAAGCAGCAGCCGGGGATGGAGCATTTCAAACACAGCGTAGGGCTTGTAGTCAGAGGCGAGTTTGCGATTCTTTGCTTTCCGTAGAGCGGCAGCCATTTGTCGTTGTAGCGTTCTCACCGTGGGAACAACATGGTTCAGGGAGACTTTCATTCTCTCGTGTTCAAACCGCTGCTGAATCAAATCCCACTTTCTGCTCTGGCTCAAGGTGCGGTCGCCCACGTACTTGAACGGCTTGATCTGGACTATGAGCCATAGGATGAGCTTCACGTCGGAGTGGGAAAGCTTCAGGCGCTGCCTTACAGCAGCGGACGGTAGGGACTGAATTTTAAGATGGGAGTAGGGCGGCGCTTCTGCTTCGAATAACACTTTTGAAGGGAAGGACGCGGTCCAGGGCGATGGAAGAAATGAGGCCAAGAAAGGGTCTTATATGTGTCTGTCTGTGGGCTTAACTGGCTGTTGCGTCGAGCTCACAACCAAGCAGCTTAATAATAGATTTCCTTTTTTTTTTCTTAGAGAAGGCGCCATCGGCAATAGCGGTGTAGGGGAAAAGCCGACAAGAAAGAGGTACAAAACCATCTGCCATGCAATGACAATAAGCGAATCTCATCGACTTTCCCGCTCGACAAGCAGGAATCCACGCCCCGAGCCGGGCTCCTGACACCGTGATATGCACGATTTTGCCTTGTGGTCATGTCGAAACGCCACACATTTCTGTCTGGTCAAAGACTGTTTTCGACGTTTCGGCCGAACCCAATTTAGCGCCTGAGCGTCCGAAACATTCGGGATTTTTCTCCGACAAAGTGTTTTTTTAAAGTTGGGGAAACGAATGGCCAACAAAATTATGGCACTTCGAAAAAAATAATTTTTTTTTTTAAATCTCTCCTTCCCCTGATCTCCCTCCCTAGGCCTGTTTTTCACAATCCATATCTTTTTTGGGCCAACCCTCGCTAGCGGCAGGGTCCTCCCTCGCGTAAAAGCAGCAAGCGACAGATTCCGCTCGCATTACTATTTCGGGCTTCTGGAAGCCTATTTCTATGCACCTCGTCTTCTCTGTGGTGAGCCCTGCTCTGGGCCCTAGGCATTTCTCGGTCCTCGGTCGGTGGGGCTTGGCTTAGTCGAACTTTTAGACTGCAGCGCGCATGAGATTTGCGCTGTCAATGCCCGGCTGCAAATAAATCGAAGATGGTCTGATTTTTTTCTGTGGTTTCAATGTGGTTGATTGTCTTCTGTTTCTGTTTGTTCGGCCGGCAAATCAGAGGTTGAGTCCGGACGCAAACATCTCGGCCGCCTTGCGCATGTCCTCGTCAAGATCTCCATTGAGCCGAGGCCACTTCTGTTCGTCATCAAGCGCTCCGCTTTCTTCAACGTACGAAAGCATGCTCTGCGTGTCGAACTCCTGTGCAGCTGCCCGGGGCATCTCCTGGCGTTGCTTTTTCTCGTTCGGGTTGCCCAACGGCACCATCGACATTTGCAAGTTGTCCAACGGTCCGTCCACAAGACACCCTCTTTCTCTGAAGTGGATAAGCAAGTAGTTCCACAAATTGTCCTTGGAGAGCGAACGGGGGTTACCCAAAATGACCAAGCCGTACTTGGCTCTGGTCAAGGCGACGTTCATACGACGTGGGTCTTTGAGGAAACCAATGGCTCTGTCTTCGTTGGCACGAACACACGAGAGAATGATAAAGTCCTTTTCACGGCCCTGGAACGCATCCACAGAAGCCACCTCCACGTCCGCATACTGCGCTCTTCTGTCCACAAGCGACAGGTTGATCAGCATGTACTGGACAATGTAGGCTCTCTGGCCCTCGTAGGGCGTCACCACACCGATTTGTTCAGGACGTACACCGTCTTTGAAGAGTCTAGTAATGATTTTTTCAACGTTCATGGCTTCCACACGGTTGAGGTACGAAATGCCGCTTCCACTGATTTCCTCCTTACCGTAGTTGGCCCAGAACATCATGGGGCAGTCGGGAACAGGCCAGGGGAAGGTCAGGCCTCTCCATGCTCTTTCAGCCAGGTTGACACCGTTTTGAAGCGAACCCTCGTAAAACATGTTGGACGAGAACTCCGAAAGCGCAGGGTTCATACGGTACTGGACTTCCAAACGGATGGGCAGGTGGCCCAATGCAATGAGACGCTCGAAAAGCGATTGTTTGAGCCCGGCCTCGCCGGCTTTTTTGTCGATAATCACAGGACCCAACTGCTGGTGGTCACCGACCAAAATGACCTGTTTGGCGCCCTTGACGATCGGAATAAGCACCTCGGGCTCTGTGGCCTGGGTACTCTCGTCGATCAACACCGAACGGAAGTTGAAGCCGTTGAGACGGAAATCGCCTGCTCCCACACACGTACAACAGACAACCTCAGCGTTCTGGATGATGTCCGTTTCGATCTTACGTGTGGTGTTCAAAATCATCTTTTCCTTTCCTTCCGAAAGCTTCTCACCGTCTTTCTTGAGCTTCATCAAACGCTTGACCTTGGGAGGAGCCTTGCGCTCGATCTGCTGGTGAAGCGCCAACTCCGAAACCAGCGAGTCCACGTCCTCACGCAGCCGGGCCGTCAAACGCACCACCTTGATGCCGATGGTGTCGAGTTTATGAGCCAAATGGTCCACGGCGACGTTGGAAGGTGCACAAACAAGAACCTTGTGTTTGTGGAGACGGACCAAGTGGTAGATGATCGTGGCGGAGGTGACGGTTTTACCGGTACCGGGCGGACCCTGGATGAGCGAAAGCGGTCTTTGCAAAACGGTCGCCACGGCGTTGGCCTGGGAATCGTTAAGTCTGGCAAGACGCTTTACTGAAAGCTGTTTTGGTGCTTTGGTGGAAAACACAACCGGCACCACCTCGTGGCCAAGGAGCTTATGGTAGATGAAAGACGATACGGACTCTTCTTCGGTGGCAAACACTCTGAGTGCTTTTTGCATGCGCAGGTAGGAGGTTCCTTTCCAGACGAATTCTGCGGTAAATCCGGTGGTAGCGTGAACTGGCGCCTCGGGGTTTCCGGGCAAAAGCTCCAAGGAAAACTCCTCCAGGCGTGCCGACGGGAGGCTCACAATAAAACCCTTTCCGGACCAGGTATCCTCGGTGAAGCCGCCTTCACGGTGATGAAGAATGATCTCGTCGCCTACGGCCACAACCAAATTCGACTTTTCGTGGGTGGAGAGCGCAAAAGACGCCACGGTGTTGTTGTTGTGGGACGTCAGCCACGTCACGGAAATGTGCTCCAACGCTTGCAGCTCCTTCAAGTTCTTATCACAGATGGCCTCGGCCTCCACCAACGGCGCAAACGCGTTCTGGTACTGGTACGCGTCCTGGTACCGCAAAAGCACCGGCATGAGCTCGTCCGCCTCGGCGTCCACCCTGTCTATATCTTCAATGGTAGCATCTCTATTAACTCTCCACTGAGCCTCGAGTTTTGTAATCTGATCGTGGGAAACCTTCCTCACCGCCTCGGGCACCTCGGCCACCCACGGAAGCAACTGGCGGTCGCTGATCAACGCCTGCCACTCGTTGGTTTCCCAGTTGATGTCCCTCAGTTGAGCACAGGGCATTCGACAAAGAATCACCACCACGCTGTCGTGCTTCGCCAGCACAAAGCCCAACGAAAAGATGTTTTTGGAACCGCAATTGTAACATTCAAGCGTCTCGGCGCCCAACGCCAGCTCCTCGTGAAGCAGCACCACATGATGCTTCAGAAGCACAAGATGAGCGACAAGATGGGAACCAGCCAGGTGCAGCTTGCCGTTGCAGAACCAGCGGGAGCACAGCTCGCACTTGGCGATGCACTGCGGGGAAGCGAGCCCGCAGTAGGCGCATCCGGGGCCTGTGGGGGCGTTTTCGGGAGAATCCACTTGTAGTTGGTCCATGGTGAAAAAGTCGTGCGCGACCGAGGACATCAAGGCCTGCTGGGGTGGGGCGATTTGGGGGATGGAGGTGTGGGGGCGGGGAAAAAGGCGTGAGGGACGGGGGAGGTTTTGATAGTTTTTGGGGGGTTTTGGGGTTTTTTGGTTTTGGGGGACTTTTGGTGTGTGGGGGAGAAGGTGTGTGGGGGATTCGGTGGTGGTGGTGGAGTGGCTGCGAAAACGGTGATGGTGAGGTTGAGGGAGGTGTATTTGGGGATGAGGGTGTAGAGGTTTGGCAGTGGAGGAGAGGAATGGAGTAAGGGGAATGTGGGTGTTTTGGAAAGTGGGTTTTGTTTGATCGGACGGTTTGTTGATGCCGGTGATGGTTGGAGTGATGATGGAGGTTTTAGTGCTGGGTCTCAGATCCGTTGGTGGTCATTGCGGGATCAAAGGGTATTTTGCGATCTTATTATTTTTGATAATCTTGAGTATTTTCAGGATTTGATGTTTACGGAGCCAGAATGCTTTCGCTGTTATCGTTTTAGATTTATGGTTGGGTCCGTTGTGCCAAATATGGGTTTCTTGATCTATGCCTTAGCTGCACTTGAAAAAGTAATGAAACAGCAGTATTCGTCTTCAAGTAGAATCTGGGGCATTTCTATCCTGTCATTATTCGGTGAATTTAATTGACAGACAGCTTCTTTAATGAAAGGGTACATCATGATGTGAATTAGAAAGATTGTCTCATTGAGACTAAAGCTTGAAAAGAAAAGACACTTCCATTTCTAGAAGTCGTTGAACCACTGAACAGAGAAAAGAAAGAGCATATATCAAGCGGCTTTTGGCATTGACTCGCTGAAGCACTGTAATTCTCCATCCCTTGTCTCTTTAAAAGCACACTAGAATCAAGACTGGCTGTTTCACAAGAAATCTTGAAAAAGGTGCATTTACTGTCAATTCCTCTACAGGTTGAAATGTCTTGACAATACTCCACATTTGCGAACCATGCAAAAACGCCTCCCATCAACCTTGAATTTCTTATTTCCATGGCATCAGTCAAATCCGGTAACTCAATTCCACACACCCCTTAAAGTTCATCTCCGTTGGAAACCAAGAAATGTCAAAATCTTGTCAATCACCTCGACAAACCCAAGAAATTCACAAATTTGCATAATGTTCCGCAATTCAAAAACCCACACCGTATTACATATTCACAGGCTCCTATCCTGAAGTCTAAATGTGACATGACGTATGCAGCTCGCCTAAGTTCGCGGACTGTCCGACGCCGAGTGATATATTTGAAAATCCATAATTCAAAAAATAATGGACTCCGAAAGCCCCATATTAAGCGCCCAACACGTTGAGGCCTTTTTTCCCTTTTCGTCTTCTCGGCTAATGGGGGCTTTGTTCTTTCGCAGCCAAAACACCCGTACACCAGCTTACCTCAGGCCATCTAACCCTCCGCCAAACCAACAAAAGTGGCTGCTTAAGCCATTGCTTTTTGGCACAATCTAGAGATGCGGATATGTATATCACCCTGTATGAGTATGAAGCCGTGGGGACGGCTGTGGGGCTGACACTTGGGAATGTTTCAGAATGGGCTATATGCAGTACAACTCGTTAATCCTGACGAAATCTGAAACGAAGCCTATTTCCAGCGCCACGGGCCCCGTCGTCCCCAAAATTCACCCAAATATCGACTCCCCTAGCTAATACAATAAAAAATCCAATAAAAACCTCAAAACCCCCTTGCTCTAACCGACCGGCACGGCTGTGCGCGTAGCTGCGGCGTCCTGCTAGCCGTTAGACGCCAGTCTAAAGCGATTCACGCGGCACGATTTTCCAAATTCTTCCAAATCCGAAAATTTAAAGAATTTCAGAAAATCAATAAAACACAGATTTTCCCGAAACCCCAAAACACCCGTTCCATCCCCTTCTCCCCATTCTAGACCCTCACACGTCTGGCATTGTCTTCCGCGTCCCTCCATACAAGATCGCCAATTCTCACCAGCACCTACTACTAGTTATCACCAGTTTCCCACGCTTAAAAAAAACCACCAACTTCTTCTTCTTCCCCACATTTGCCCAAAATGTCCCGTATGCCCTTCGTCAAGGCGCTTACACGTGACAAGGCCCTGCTCACGGCGTCCAACGTCTCGTACTCCCGAGACTCCTTGACATGGTACTCTCCCTCCCAGATTGAAATAACCGATATAGGCCAGATTGTGGCTCACGAGGAGACAGAGCCGCCGCTGTTGCTAGCACTGGCGTTGCAGGCGTGTCACGTGTCGATCCACCTGCTGCTGCCCCTGGGTCCGGTTTTAAACGGTCGGAGACGGTTTACGAAGAAAACCGAGCTGGAGCTGGCCAGCTACGACGAGCCGCCCGTGATATTCATCCGCCTGTACGACAACGAAAAGCTTTTTCTTCGAATCGCCTCGAAAACCACGTTTGGAATGGTGCTTCTGGCGCTCATGGCGTGGCAGAACATGAAACCAGCCGGTTTGGCGAAGAAATGGTACGCCGAAAACGCCAGCCTGGCCACGGTGGTCTCAGACGACCCGCACGAGGTGCTTGTGGGGCGCTTCCGGATTTTCGGCCCGATTCCAGCAAAAGTAAAGAACCTCAAGCTCGTGAAAATGCCCAGACCTCCTCCGTACCAGCTGCCTTACGACACAGACGCCCACAACGACCCCAGTCACGCGTCCGGAACGCTGCAGGGCCACGAGGGCTCGATCCCCGAGGGCTGGTTCTACACTATGGGAGTGCTCAAGTCCAATGGTACACTCAACTTTATTTCCGAGCTAGACGGCACTTTGCTTTACTCGATCGACATCAAGAGTATCCTTCTGCTGGAGATCCGGGAAGTGCACCACTCTATTTGTGATTCCTCGAACATCCTCTTTATCGGACACATCAAGGACTTGCGCTGGAACAATGTGCTTAAATCCACCACGGCCTTGACACTAGAGCAGCTCAACCAGCTTCTGCCCTCGTTCCTTGTCAAAGACGGTAAACCGGTCGCCAACAACTCCAGAGTGCTTATTGACTTCCCCTTGCACATTGACCTCGAGGACTGGTTTGTCGGACTTAACTACTTCTGCAAGCGTGAATACATTGGCATGTACGATAAGGGCCTGGCGCTTCGCCCACCACCCACAAAGCACTTTATCGATATCGACCTGACCATCGATCACGACTCGACTTTGGATGGCACCGAGACCCCTCGCAACGGGACGCCTAACACAACCTTGAACTCCAATGGTCTCTCCCATGTTGCGCCACATCACGATAATCAGCACCATAAGCTCTCAGACTACTTGAGAGACCATTTGCGTGTTTCCAAGAAGCTCACAGTCGACATTATCGAGGCTAAATTCGACCATCCTCCATCCCTGCCCAAGGATTCCAACAAGATTTATGCCGAAGTGGTCATGTGGGGTTTCCCATGGGCCAGAACTGCCTTTGTTCAGCACACATCCAATCCTTTCTGGAAGGAGAACTTTCTGGCCTCGTTACCTATTCTGACGCAAATGGTCCACATTGTGATCAAAAAGTGCGTTTCAAACAAAAACGTCTACTCCCCAGCCGACAAAGTGGTGGGAACCGTTTACCTCACGCCCGACGTGCTTACACAGCAAAGACACACCTTTTCCACCATGATGAACCTCAACGTTGGCGGCAATACCATTAATGTGCCTGGTCACACCGCTAATGACTCCCTCGGTGTGGCTGCTGCTACTATTGCCAACAACAACAACTCGGTTCGTCTTTCCATTTACGACGCGACCAATCTCCCCATCGGCAAGCTCCTCTTGACCGTGGATCTCAAGGAGTACTTAATACCTAATCCCTCTTATTTCAAGCCTTTGGAACACATGCTTAAAAACTGTCCCATGAAGGAGCTCATTGAGTTCTGCAACAATGCAGTGCTGACGTCTGAATTCGAGAATGTCAGTTTCATCTTACTCGATATCTTCCAGAGTTTGGGAATCGAAGACAGGTGGTTCAAGACGCTCGTGGAGGCAGAACTAGTTGACGTTGACAAGATGACGCGAAAGAACTACGCCAGCAAAGGCAATGGCAACTCGACATCTAGTAACAACGTCTTCAACACATTGTTCCGTGGCTCGTCCATTTTCACAAAGTCGTTGGAGAAGTACATCTTCAGAATCGGTCAAGAGTACTTGGAAAAGGTGTTTGGAGACTTGTTTGAGAAGATCACCATGGAGCTGCTTAATTGTGAGATTGACCCTCGTTATGTGAGACAACAAGAGGCCGCTAAGAGAAAGAGAGCCAAGCATGGTGCAAACTACATCAATACTTCTGATTCCGAAGACGACAGTGACGACGATGTTGATGCCGAGACCGAGAAAAAGAGAGAAGAGCAGGTCAAGGAAATCATCGACAAGAACTACAAGGCACTCACGAACTATGCCGAACAGTTGTGGTACAGAATCTACAGCACCTCCAACGATCTTCCTGAACAAATCAAACTTCAGCTCAAGAACTTCAGAACAAAGGTTGATTTTGCCTGTGACCCTGAGGATAAAACGACTGCTCTCAACTGCTTGAGTGCTTTCATTTTCCTTCGGTTCTTCTGTCCTGCTATTCTCAACCCTAAGCTCTTCTACTTGACGAAGAATCACCAAACTGGCAATGCCCAGCGTACGTTGACGCTTATTGCCAAGATCTTGTTGAACCTCGCCAACAGACAAGAGTTTAGCCAGCACAAGGAGCCTCACTTGGTTCGTATGAACAAGTTCCTCCAAAAGCACCAGGATGAGATGTATGACTACTTTGACAAGATCACGGGCAGAAAGAACGATTTCAACGAGAAGATTCTTGACTTGAGTCACGAGGTCAACCGGTTTGATCTTGGACTTGGTGGCGATGCTTCTTCGAGTGAGCTTCCAACTACGCCTTACTTGATTGATAAGTACTTGAGATTGACTGAGCTTATCCACCTTCTCAAGTTGAGTGGTCACAGCAGGTCGCAGTCACAGAAGCTTTCTTCGACGTCGACGAGCTCCATCACGACCATGCTTTCAAGCCTGACGGTCGCCAGGAGCAACACAAACACTCCAGCTCAAAACATAGCTGCCAGGCTGCCGTTCAAGGATAACTTGGCTCCTCAGAATGACGAGATTCTCATGGACGGAGACAGAAACACGTACCAGATTGGCTCGCTTGAATTTGAAAAATCCGAGTTCCTCGATTTGGCAGGAGACAACGAGACGGAGGGCTTCATCAAGTCGTTGTGCCGTAGTAACGAGGAGATCTTCTCGTTCATCACGTCCAACATCTCGCTCAAGGATCTCCAGAAACAGAGCACAGACCTCATCAACCGAATTGATGAGCTCTCTCACAGACTCGAAGAGCCCGAAATCTGCGAGAACCTCCAACACGATCCCAAGCTCTGGGAAGCCTACGTTGACAAGGTGGTGGACACTGCCATTATCGATGTGGCTAAGAGCAGCGTTGTATTTTACGATGAGAACTTCCAAGGCGCCATGGTCCCCGGCCAGAAGCGCATCCGTGATAACGGCATCACGGCCTTGAAGCTCAAGTTCCCTGTGGAGATGGAGCGGACGCTGATGAGCGAGAGTTTCAGCTCGAACTCGTTGGGCAGTCTTCTCCGGACCCCATCCAAGAACCCGTTCAAGCGGTGGTTGAAAAAAGAGTAATCGGCGGCGCCGAGTATGAATGTAACATTACAGACTGATGGCTATACTAATACTGATGATATGAAGGATGCAAGCGTGTAGAGGTTGCAGGGTCTGGGGTTGTGAAAGTCTAAAGGTTAATCCTTGGCGGCCGGTTAAAGTGGTGTTTTGGTTTCCCCTTCCGAGATTCCGTGCCAGGAGGCTCCTGAAAGCAAAACACAAACCAATCAGTGGCTCGTAAAACAGCAACAACCGAAAGTTCCGTGCATTTGGTGATGACCATCTAACAAAGAGTAGGTGAGGTGGAGAACATTGTCTAGTGCACAGAAGCCCATGTTGTAGATAGTGCCCAAAGGAGAAGGTGTAGACGGTTGAGAAGTGACCAGATTGAAGAATCAGAAAATGAAGGAAAATCAAGAGAGGAAGTTTTACAAGAAAATGAGTTTTGGGTTCTTTGGCATAGCACATGCTGAGGGCTGCATAGCCTCTTTTTCAAAAACGGCCTAGCCCGAAAAATGACGATTTAGGCCCACGATGTTGATATCACCAGATTGAAAATCACAATATCGTGATATTCGTGAAAAACTCAGAAATCACCTTACCCTGTTGGCTTTCACGCCACAGCTGATGCAACGTTCCATTTGCAGCCATTCGATGAGCTGCCGTTTATGCGTTTACAAGTACCGGTCAACCAAGCCTTCCAAAGTGAAAAATCCACAATTCGTAAAGCACACCGTAATAACCAAAAGATGTAAACAGAAAAAAACAAAAATCCCGTCGTCTCGGGACCCCAAGCATTCCTGATCCTTCCTCGTTGCTCATTGCTCATTGTTCCTATACGAGCATCACAACACATCGACCCAAATCCACCAAATCCACCTCAAACCTCCCAAATCCAAAACACCCGTTTTCTTCGTTTCTCCCCTTTCCACGGTCCACCGTGTGCCAGCACCGCGGCTAAACTCCACAACGTCACTTCCCCTGGAAAGTTGCTTCCAGAAGCCGCGCAGCAAGCAACAAGGTTTTTAGAGAAAGCGGCGTGATTTCGAAAAAAACAGCAAAACGCAGGTGGAGCCCCGTTTTCGCTGTGTGATGAGCGGCAGATTGCTGTTAATTTGCAGCCTCCGGATGCCACGGAAGAACGGTTGCAAATGCGCCGCGACAGCGAAAGCTCCACGACGGGGCGGTCGAAAACGAAGCGATTCGACAAATCAAAATATGCAAATTATACAAATTCCAGTAAATCCAATAGACTCAAATTTCTTCACTAATCGTAAAAAATTCAGGCCCTTGCCAAAAAGAAATGGAGGCCCAGATGTCCATCGGTCGATGCAGTCCCGCGTGGGTATCAACACTGATTGTCTTTTTTCCTAAACCACCACCATGGCGACAGAAGCAGAGATATTGGCGTCGTTCCCGCAAGTCAGCGCCCCCACCCTGCAGACAGGATACACCTCCAACTTGACGGAGGAACAGAAGCAGATCTTGGCCCAGTTGAGACAGGAGCTTGTTGCTGAAGGGTTCGAGTACCGTCTTGACGATGCGTCGCTTCTTCGTTTCTTGAGAGCCAGAAAGTTCAACTTGGCCAAGGCCAAGTTCATGTTTGTGGAGTGTGAAAAGTGGAGAAAGGAGTTTGGCGTCAACACCATCCTCAAGGACTTCCACTACACGGAAAAGCCCCTCGTGGCCAAGATGTACCCACAGTACTACCACAAGACCGATAAAGACGGGCGTCCGGTTTACTTCGAGGAGTTGGGCAAGGTGTACCTTCCCGACATGTTGAAGGTGACCACCCAGGAGAGAATGTTGAAGAACTTGACCTGGGAGTACGAGCTGTTCACCCAGTACAGATTGCCTGCTTGTTCGAGAAAACAGGGCTACTTGGTCGAGACCTCGTGTACCATCATGGACCTCAAGGGCATCAGCATGAGCGCCGCCTACCAGGTGATTGGCTACGTCAAGGAGGCCTCCAAGATTGGCCAGGACTACTACCCGGAGAGAATGGGCAAGTTCTACTGCATCAACGCCCCCTTTGGCTTTTCCACCTTGTTCAAGTTGTTCAAGCCCTTCTTGGACCCTGTCACCGTGTCGAAAATCCACATTTTGAGTTCTTCGTACCAGAAGGAGTTGCTCAAGCAGATTCCACCACAAAACTTGCCCAAGAAGTACGGTGGAAGCAGCGACGTGAGTGATCAGGACTTGGCTTTGAACGACTACGGTCCCTGGAGAGACCCCCAGTACATCGGCCCCGAGGGCGAGGCGCCCCGTGCTTTCGAGTGATTTATTTGATAGAGCTGCTGCCGTTGCATGAGGTTGCCACCACCTGGGAACCGTGATAGAGAGACGGAGCAAGCTTCGTGTGAACGCCGTGGCGCCCCGCGGGATTAGAGTTCAATAAAACGCTATTTATGTGAGTGTAGCAGGCGGTTTTTGGAGATGCCACTTTTGTCGTAGATTGTCGTTTTATGGGGGCATTGTTTCGGACAATGGCGTGTCATATTGTCGTGAGACATCAACAAACAAGTCCGACTGGTCAGAGGTTGATTTATTTTTGGATTGCTATAAATAAGGTCACCATGCCTTTGGTTCTGGACTCTGGTTACAATGGCATTGTCCTCGTAATTCTCGAATCCATAATATTAATGAATTGAGGGACTTTGCAGATTTCATTTCTTTTGCTGGGGTTTCACGGGACGCACTATATACTTGGACTTCGGTCCCAACGAAGAAACGGTTGCAACTTGTAATGCTCCACAGGTGATGTAACAACCTGCTTCACAAAGCCCTTTGATGCACGCTTCACCTAGCATAACGCAGGGCCCTGTGATGCAATTATAGCCGTAGCGTTTTAGGTTGCAGATGGCGATGCACGGTTGATGATACACCATGTAACGGTGATGATGTAAAAAGGGTCCAGCTCGGCTACTCCTCCTCGGGCCACCATTCGGGTATATGCGCTGTGGCGTCCAAAGCCTTGGAAACGCCAGGAACCTGAACCTTGAGGCGGCTGTCCTTCTTGAGTTTGTCGATGTTGACCAATGCGAAACCCATTTTGCCTCGAACAGAGAGGAGCTTTCCGACTTTGCTGCGTCTGGGAGCTGGTGCTTTTCCCGAGCTGCCGAAGGGAGAGCTGGACTGGGCGTTGGACTTGTCGAATGGCGAGCTGGACTTCTCAAAAGGTGACTTGGAATTATCAAATGGCGAGGGCGCTGCTGCTTTTGGTTTCTCGGCAGCAACAGGTTCAAGAGAAACTTCCGTCACGTCGGCTTCACTGAGTTTCGCCAAATCGCCCTCGTCGGCCGTGAACACAAGCGGAACCACACGCTTTCTGATAACTCCGCCGTTGAACGTTCTGATGGTGAGCTCCTGTCCCACGTAACAGCCCTTTTCAAGACTCAAGCCGTTGATGTAGTCCAAATTGCACTCAAACGGCAAAAGCGACATGCCCTTAGGAGCATCGGCGGTCTCAAAAAGGCCGTTGGTGTACCTCCTATCGGTGATTTGACGAGGCAGCACTTCCTTGACCTCGAAAAGCTGCTTGAAGGAGTCCGAAAAAATGTCCGCTGGATCCTGGGCCTCCTGCGTCGTGAGCACCTTGAGCCCAAAATTGGGTATTCTGTTGTCGATGGCAAATCCAGTCACGTTGGGTGCAAATGCCTTGTTGAATATGAGTTCTTGTTCGACGACCTTATTGGCGTTTTCCAACGCACCCTCGGGGTCGCCTGTCGTCAAGTACTGTCCCTGAAAGTCCTCTAGCCACTCCTCAAATTCAGGCGTTTCGTTGTAGTAGTAATACGAGAAGATCTCCTTGATTGGCTCGATCTTGACTCTGGCACTGAGCTTGTGCATGCGTAGAAGCGTCTGTAGCGCAGAAACGTACTTTGGATCGATTTCCACCAAAAAATTGGGTTCCTCTATGCTCTTCTTGAATGCATCGGTGAGTGTGTGGTACGGATTGGCATAGACAAAGCAGTCATTCACGACTCTGCCTTTGGAATTGAGAAACATCGACAGAACTCCGTCTCGACGTACAAAGATATTGAAATCCGGATCGTAGATATCCTCATGCATGAGTCCCCAGTTCTTTTCCGGGTTTATCACCTCCTGAAGCTCCAAATGTCTGTTTTCATTGTCACTGATGGTATGCTGCTTTTTCTTCACCACATTGGGCAAAAGCCGGGTTGTAATGAGTCCATTAAGAAACTTCGATGCATCTACTCCTCGGATTTGTATTATAGACCTCGGAATTCGGGCTATCCCGCTCCACGACATGGTAAGAAATTAGTGCTCTAGCTTACTCAGATGGAGGTCTCAGATATAGGGCGCTGTGTACAGGAAAATCAACACTTCGTAGTATAATATATTCAATAAATATTAGAACTTCAGCATCGGCACCTCGCGGCCAATCTGGTTCTTCTTTCTGCTCTGCGGCTGCAGCTGTGCCGGCCATTCGGTCTTGTTCATCACTTCGTCAAGGCTGGGTGACAGAATGTCTGGCTGCAAACGATCGCGGATTTGGTCATTCAACGAGATCTTTTGCTTGAGATCAGGCTGTTGGGGCAATTGCATGCCTTGGGGTGGCAACTGGAAGCCCTTTTGCTTTCCCATCTGGTACAAATCGCCACTGGAGTGAACACGCGAGCCTGTTCTGGAGGTCATACTCGAGGTGTTGGTGCTCAAGAAGGATTCATCACGTACAAGCTCGTCCCTCCTGATATCAACCTCACCAACATCAAAGTAGCCGTAACCACCAAGATAGTTGAACTCGTCGTCCTTGTTATCGTCGGAATTGCTGCTTGACTCCTGGATCACAGGAGGAGCCTCTCTCAAGGGGCTTTCTGGAAGCTTGAACAGAGCTGTCGAGTCCAACCTAAGGTCAATGGGGTGCCTCGTCAGGTACAATTCCTTGTTGACATTCTTCAACTCCTTCTCGATACGGAGGCGCTTGAGCTCATACCTTCTTGTTTCAGAGTCAGCCATTTCTTCCAAAATGTCGGCCTCTCCACGAAGAATGTTCTTCACCTCCTTCATCACAGAACGGAACGTACTCAAAAAGCGCTCTGTCTGGCGGAACTTTGATGACACAGTCACCACCACCTTATCCTTGTGGATGATATAACCAATTCCAAAGCCTTGGTCGATAGCTGGCGATATGCCAAAGAGATGCAAAGCGGGGTTACCACAGTTACTGATCAAAAGCTCTGCACCAGTGAGTCTTTCAATGGACTCATTGGACAAGAACGGAATGTACTCATCTGCCATCACTTCGACCGGTGGAATGGGCTCCAAACCTTCCACATCCTTGTTGAGCCTGTTCAAACTTTCCACCGCACTGGGCTTCTTCAAAACTTGGAGTAAAGCGCCAATGTGTCTTTCGAAACCTTGTCCAAGCATAGCGTCACGGTAATGCTTTGTGTGGTCAATGGCACAAGCCTTAAATGACAGCCACTTCTTGTCGTTGTCAGCAGAGGTAATAAATAATTTAGCGAGGTTGTTGATAGGCTCGTTTTGCACAGCCACCAAGTCTGTTCTAGCATCACGGAACTTTCTCGTGGTGATCGGTTCCAAAGTGTTGGCGACTCTACCGTACAAGGCATAGTGGGCAACTTGGAAACCGATCTGCAAGAACGAATCCGCCAGCAAGCCTGATTTCGTCAAAAGATGACTATCAAGCTTCATCGTGAGACTCTTGTACTCGTGCTGGTTCAAAAGATCAGCAAGACGAGTCTCAGAAAGGTGGATCAAGTGCTGGAGCTCTGGTGTCATTCTGAAACGAAGCTCTCTGGCATTGGGCTTATGATCACTCACTTTACCCGATACAAATTGCACGGACTCGTCAAAAAGGGTGTTCTCAGCACCGTTGATGTTTCTTGCGAGCTTCAAGATCGAATCTGTATAAATGTCACTGATAAAACGCAAAATGGCCGTACTGTCCATCAGCGAGGACTCCCAAACAACGCCTGCGACTGCATTGGAAGTCACCACCATCTGAAGCTTATCGTACCATCTAGAAGTACACGAACCGATCTGAATGTTGGTGCCTTCCAACAAACGAGATGTTCCGTGAGAGATGACCTGGGTCTTTTCTTGGTCGGTCTTGGGGGCACTTGTGGTATCCAACACCACCACAAAAAGAGCATTGTCAACCGCTTCAAGGTAGTTGGGGTTGGTCTTCTTCAACTCCACTCTGGCCAGTTTCCAGTATCCGTACGTCTGAGTCGTGATAGCACCGATACCGTTATTCACAGCGGTGATCTGGTCGACCAGCGAGGACTGGTTGATGATCTCCTGAACGATCGGAGCCAATTCGGCATCATTGAACCAGATCTGGTGCTTGGGGTTCTGGTTGACATCTTCACAAGGAGTGAGCACCTCTAGGGTGTAGTACTGGTTGTTGCAGATGAAGAGCACGTGGCGGGAGTCGTTGAAGTGCTTATACTTGGCAATGGTGATGTGGTGGTATTCTTGCAGCTCGTCAGGCACTCTGGTCGTGCCGAACAAGTTCATATAGCATTTCATCGTAAGAGGAGTGCCCAGTTTTGGGGTCACATCGGGCTTCAAGGTGCCATTTCTCAAGCTCACAATGAACTTTAGCGTGGAGTTCACCAATGACGCCGTACGCTGTGCCTGGTTAGGCGGATTGATGGTCTGGGCGTACGGATCCTCCTCCAATACCAAAAACGGGTTTCTAGGGAGAATATCGCCGTTCAAGTCGCCGTAGATGCCCGGGTAGCTCTCGCCGTTGACGGCGTTCAAGTAGCACGTGACGTTTGGGTTTCTAGCCGCCTCCTCCAAGTGTCTTTGGACCAACAGCACCGTTTTGTTGGTGATCACTTGCGATGCCTCGTTCAAGATTTCCGAGTATTCCTCGGCAGGAAGAAGGGGCTTCAACGCCGCCAATATCAGGTGCGTGGACTGCGCCAACAGCGGCACGGGAAGGCGGGGAAGCTGCTCCTCGTATTCGAAAAGGGAGTACTTCATTAGTGGGAAGAAAAAGAGGAATCGGTGATGCTTAAGTACCCCAGGATCTGTGGGGCAGGTGGGGTGTCTGTGTGCAGTGCGTGGGACCTATCGCCGGCCGTTCCACCGAGATATGCTCTTACGGGGGTGAAGAAAATCAATGGATTTCAAGATTTCGATTCAGGTTTTGTGGAAATTGATATTGGTTTTTTCTCGGTTCAGTATGGTGACTTCCTCGGGCCGAGGGTCTGGCAGGGTCCTCGGAGTGCGGCCAATGAAAGTCCGGGTTTAGTCAGAATGCATTTTGTGAAAGATGGAGGATTTGGTGGAATTGGTGGATTTTGTGGATTTTGCAGATAAGGAGTTTGTGTCTTTTGTTTGTCAAAATGTGTGGATGCTCTGTCGCAAACGCTGCATGGTCTTGACAAGCGGGCATACAGTGGGGTAGGTTTTGAAGAGTAGTACTTAAAGGTGGATTGTGATGGAGGGATTAAGCGGTTGATGGACTTTGTTGATTTCGTCGATTTTGAAATGATGCCTGGATTTTGAATCGGTGCCTGGTTGGTTTGGTTCAATTGGTGTGTCAAGGAATGGAAAGTGCATTTAAGTCGTGATGCATCAAGTGCTATCTGAACTCCCAAGGATCTGGCTCCCTCTTTTTTTTTTTTTCAACTAATATCTCTTTATTAGAGTAAAACACTAAATCTCCATCGAAACAACCTCCAATAAGATCTTATAACTCTCAATTTCACGAGACCCTCGGGTCAGTTTTCGAACGTCTCGCCGTGTTTATCGACCCATCGGACAGATCTGTCTGACAGCCTTCTTCAGCTGACGTATCAGAAGGGAAGGCCACGGTACATTAAATAGGTAGTTCTCACCGTAAACCAGTTTAGTTTGCGGAAATGTTCAAATGTGTGTTCTTTTGGAGTTAACATATTGTTGAGCAGCATTGGTCAAAGCCAATAATGAACTGAATCTATTGATCTTGCCTTTGTCAATTTTTGCTGTTGCCGAAAACCAATGCTATTTTTCAGTATAGATGGACTTCGTTCCATGTACCAGTCTGTTCCACCTTATTTTTCAACTGCAAAATCGCAATTGAAGCATTGGTGTCTTAAAGCAATTTTTGAACAAAATCTGTTGATTGGAATTCTATAATCCTTTCGCTGAATTACAATCCTATTTTTCAGAAAAAGTGGATCTCATTCCATGTACCGTATTCTCCAACCCACTTTCCAGCTTCAAAATCCATCCCCAATTGAACAGAAAATCCCAATTGATCAGGAAATCACTAGCGGCTTCCCGAAACATCCACCAGCTTCACCCTCCATTTAACCTTCAGGGGTGATTTGCACCACCGTAAATTCCCACAGCGATCGACTAGTCATGCCTGGTTTTCTGCCTGGTCAGCACAAGCAGTTTCGGAATGCAGTGCAAGATTATGGTTTGGATGTAGCGACGGCGGCTACTTCATAGAGGCAGCTGCAAAGATCTGCTTTTGCCATTATCACAAGAAAACCCAGCAGCGTAGTTTCCAGGTACATGGGGTATTCGGTAAATCAGCAACGGCGGAGGGGTATCCACGATCAAATTTAACGAAATTGATAGATTTGTTAGTTTGAAATTTACTTTTATTTGCCCATCCACTTTTTCCATGGGCCCCATGCCTCGAGGACAATTACACTAAATACGAGGCGGCGGGATACATACGTCGAGCTTTCTGTATCTCCCTGTTTGCCTAAGCCAACTAAGCCCTAAAAACACCAGAAATATTTCGAAAATTCACGAAATGCATGGCTGCCTTTCAGGCTGCAATTGACAACCCATGCACCTTACCCATTGAAATGGCCTCCCCAAAACCACCCTTCTTTCGTATCTGTCAGTCCATCTTTTTGGTATTTTTTGAAACTCTGTCAGCACAATTCTCTCGTTTCAATGCCTCCCGCTTCAATGTCTCGTTTCAATGCATCTACTCTCTTAAAACTATAAGAGTAAACAAAACTATTGTTGCAACGCCCCCTAATAAACTTCCAACAAGCCTGTTCCGCAAGATGCCATTGTCGCCTTTAAGCTTTCCACGCCCCCTACGAAGGCGACATTCGTACATTGTGAAATAATAACTTTTACGGCCTCCTCCGCAGAAGGGCTTCTGGAACACCCGGTTTTATTAAAAGACGGGTGTTTGATACTGAATAGGGGCATGGATACGAAGTCTTTTCAGCCTCGAACGGGCTGAGTTTTCAGAGTCAAAAGCCCAATCGGAGATATACCATTACAGTGCAGAGAGAATAGAATCACCACTTTTAGACGATGGCTTTTGTGGAATCCATGGGCCACGGAGCCGAAGATCACTGCTGGATTGGGCAAGCCGTGAATTCTAGAATGCCCAAAGCCAACACTAATTTTTAAAATCTACACTTTCAAGCATTTTTTTGAAAAATCATCAGCTTGATGCTGCCGGGTATGTATTGAAAAGACCCTCCGGCACGGATCTGGATCAAGACAGCTTGGGAGAACCTGCTCCTGGCTGACCTGGGGAATAAAAATATGTGTGGTGCACGGGTGTGTTGCTGCTTTGTGGGAGGCACAGGTTTCTCTGCGGTGTCAGTCCTGCAAGTGACCAGGGGGGCTGAGCAGCAGCCTCTGTCAAGTACGGGGCTTGCAGAGGGCTCGATCCTCGGCAAAGGAGGTGCGATCGGCAGTGAAAGATTTATTTTTGGCTTTGCATTTTTCCACAAGCTCTGAGCCTCGTACCCAGCGAGTCGAGACATTGCGGAAAAGAAAACGGCAATTGTCAATGGGGATTCATGTGTCGGCCAGGAATGCCGCACAAAGGGGCAGGCAGGCGTCCACCTGCGGTGCACATGCGGTGCGCCTGCATGCGCGCCAGGAACCAATGAGAATGGACTTTGCTCTGGACAATGCCGCGCGGATAATGCGATCGGCGATGCGTCAATAAGATGAAGGTCTCGCTTGTTACGTCAACAAAGTCGCACAATGCTCCAGGGCAGTCTGGACAAACTTCGGGAGAGTGCTCCATGGAGAATAAGCTGACGATCGAAAGAAGCATAGCACTTTTTTTGCACTTCTCGAAAAGAGGCGTCCATCGTCGAAAAAGGCCCCCGTATTGTCTCTTCGGAAGCTGTCCTGCAGAAAGCAGATCGCAAAATTATGGCTTATCTTTTGCCCCAGCCCGCCAAAGCAAAAACCAACCACACCCGCTACTCGTCTAAAACACACCTGAAGAAACCAGCGTATATGGCACTATTTGCTCGAAGGTAAAAATGTAGGGGAGAATTTCCAGGCAAATCAGTCACGTGCTAAACCGTAAGTTCCTACAAGTTCTTTTTTGTTGTCGTCGTCAGTTCGTAATCATCACAGGCGCTTTTTTCGTTTTTTCTCACTGCTGGCGAAGCGGCGGGAGCGCAATCGAATGCTGGAAGTACAGCGGGTGTTCGGCTTGTAAACGGCCCAGTTCCACATCCTTGGCCTCGTCCATCAACGGCTTGATACAGAGCCAGCCTGTTTCAGTCCGGAAATGACGTGCCAAGGCATCCAGACGTGCAAACGTCTTTCCACAGCCCCACTTGGTAGTGCCGTCTTTAAGGAAGCCTTCACACTTGAAGTTCTTGACGCCCTGGTGGAGATGCTCGTGGCGCTTGCGGTCGTGAGAACGGGCAAACAGCTTGGGGCACATCAGGCACTTGTAAGGTCTCTCGGTGGAATGGGTCTTCATGTGCAGCTTGAGGTTATATGGCTTGGGGAAGGTTTTGCCACAAGTCTGGCACGTATGCTTGGCCAATCCGGAATCCGTGCCCACCATCTTGTAGTCCAGGCGTCTGCGGCGCCGGCTGGCTGGCGACACCGTGTAGCTGACAAGCGAGTTGTAGTTGATTCCTGTTCCGGGAACCTTGAGCAGCTCGTCGCTATCTCTTCTGTGAGCCTCGCCACTCATCAGGCTCGGACTAAGCGGGTATCCGTGGCCAGGGGAAGATGCTGGGGCTCCCTGAGGGGCACTGGCCAAAGGCAGGTACCTTGAGGTCATGACGGGTTGCACGAGAATGGCATTTTGTGGCTGCTGGTAGTTTTGTTGATATGGCTGAGCAACGGGCTGGGCCATTCCCGAAAGGTTCATTTGAGGCACCGAGGGCACTTGCAACAGAAATGCTGGAGGTGAAAGCTTGGGGTCATTGGACGAAGGAGTGTCTAGTTGTTGTGAAGGCTGGGGGGTATTGCTAGTGTGAATCTGAGGCAACGCCATGGGCCGCAGCTGTCTGTTTTGTTGTTGATTGTTTTGGTTATTTTGGATCTGGTAGTAGTCCACCAACTGAGACATTCTCTGGGGCATCTGCTGGGGCACTTGCTGGGGCACCTGTTGGTTGTAGTAGCCCAGGCTTTGTTGGAATTGGGAGTTGTCAACGACGGAGGGACCCATTTGTTGGAACGGCCTGGAGGCGTAATCTTGCTGATAATAGACAGGGTAGGACATGAGGTAGTTAAAGTGAGGCTACCTTGCTAATGATCAAAAAGTTGTACACAATCAAAAGCGGCGGGAATGGTGGGATTTATATAGTGGAGACGGCGTAAGCGACACCTTATTTGGTATTGGGGGAGGGCTGCACGTCAAAATAAGAGAGCGGTGCGCGAGCTGCTGCATGTCCTGCGCCGCTCCTGCAGTGCTGCTTGCAGGCGTACATATAGAAGCATTGTCTTTCGGCATTTGCAGCAGGCCCGCGACGGCTAAAAGCCAGGGGCAAGGACGGGGCTTAGTCAAGGCTGTGCTGAGCACGCAGATGGGCACTGCACACAGCCGGGTGCCACCTGCCACCCAGCCTATCACCCATCCACGCACAATCCCATAAGCCCAATGTTGGCGGCAGATGACAGAAGCAGGGCCTTTGTTTATTGGGCTTTGTATGCAGTGCGCCTCCAGGCACGAGGCACGTCATCCAACGGCGGCAAAGCCCCCTTCTCCGGTAGACCCCGCCTCAAACCCTCACGCCTGTCCACCACAAAAATCATAGTCTCGATATCGTCCCTACTTCACCATGGAAGAAATTCCCACGCTTGCTTCGACGTAAATGCAAGATGGTCCCGCGCAGCAATGTTCCCCTGACTTATCTGCAGTCCGGGACTCCCCTGCAGCACTGCTGTCGAATTATGCGGGAAGCGACGCCCGTGTCGACGTAACAGCAGGCCCACAGCCCCCATGTACCCCTCTACACGGCTGACAGCAGCCCCGGTTCTCAGATCCCCCTCCCACCGGATCTCTAAATTCTGGGCTCACCAGCCTCACCAGAGTCAGCCTTGACGAAAAAGATTCGGCGACATTTTCTTTTTTTTCCATTTCTTCATTTAAACAGTTATACTGTAAAGCAGCACAGGCTGGACGGGCAAAAACCCAGCTGCTGGTTATATGTAGAGTGGAATGAGGCGCAGATACACGAAACACGACCGTTTATCCGATAATCCTCGGGCATTCTCCCGTTCTGTGAATCCACCAAGGTGCACACGCCAAAAATTTCATCATGATGGCTGTGGAAAAGGCTGTGCTGATTTAGTCCAGCTTAGTGAGGCTGTAACGATAATTCACAAGGCTGGGGCAGGGGCCAAGAAACAGCGCCGTTAGCCGTTTACGTCATATCAGTAGTTTTCAATGGGAAAGGCCCGGAAAAACCCAAAAGGCACTTTTTGCAAAATTCTCTTCTCGGTTTTTTCCCTGTTGGAAATTCTCCAGCGTCGAGATGCCTCTGCCGATGACGCTTCCACACATTTTCCAAAATCACAGCGAGCAAATATTAACGCAAGGCCGCCAATAGCGCCGCCTAATTTCACCCATTCGTTTTTTTTCGAAAAATCATGTCATACTTTTTTTTCTGTGTTGTTGTTTGTCCTCGTCGTTCTCCCTCCACCTTGTAACAAGCGGTTTTAGAAGATCTGGGGAATGTCCAGATTCGAGCCGTCATGGGTTTAACCGCTGAACCTCGCCGTGAATCTGTTGCTCTTTTGGGCTAGCCCAATCGAGCGATTCTAGTTTCGATTGCAGTGGCATTTTTTTTTTTTTTTTTCCTTGTATCGGGCAATCTGTATCTGACCCGTTCTGCGTTTTGTGATCTCTGGAAGCATCGTAAATTACGCCCTCACTCCAGATCTTCACTTTTCGAAACCAACCCACTTTTTGTGCTTCCTTTGGATTTCTCCCGGCTTAGATTTTCGCTAGACTGGGGCTGATGATAAGAGGGGCTGCAGAACGTCCTTGGGCAAGAGGAGCCGCTTTAAGTGTGGAGTTCCGGTACCCCTGAGAAAGATGCCGATTAAACCGTGGGTATAAGCAGTATATTCTCCTTTTTTTAGACTTCCACATCCTCCTGGTCTCCATCCCTGATGAAGTTGTAGACAGTCTCCAGTCTCATGGGGGAATGACTGTATCTGGGTTAACTCTTGCTACATATTCTTCTTGATCACTTGTGGGATCTAAGCCTCTGGTAGCTGGTCCCCACCAGACAACGAGTCACGACTGGTAGAGGCAGCTACACCGCTTGCGTGTATTGCTTTTTAAAAATACCCCTTGGCCTGGCCCTTACCCCTAGTGGTTGTGCTTTGGATCATCCCCAGGTGATGAGACTGCCGCTGGCAATCCAGTCAAGCTCAAACTCAGGCGAATCAATACCAAACCGCTTGGCCATGGGCAAAAGGTGCTGCTCGTCGCCAAAATCCTCCACATACGCCACGGTGTTGGACTCCTTGGCTCCGTCGTCCTCCTTCTTCACAACATTAGGCACCGTCCGGGGCAAGTAGTTGATGAAGAAGTCGTACAACACCTCGGCAGGCACGGTGTCTGGCAACCCCTGGGACGTGACGTAGATCCGTTCAAGCTCAGGGCTGCGTTTCTTGCCCACAAGCACGGCCGTGCTGACCAAAAGCTCCAAATCCAGGAAGTTGAAGCCGCCCAAGTCGTTGAGGCCGGTGAATGACGATCTTCTACGGCCAAACTGGTCCTCCACACGGGTAGGGTCGGAAAGCACGCCAAAGGGGTCCACCTTCAACTCGCCCAGACCGACAATAAAGAGCTTGCCCTCCATGATCAGCGACCACAACACATAGTAGCTCTTCTGCTGCAACTCGTTGGTGAGAATGGCGCCCTTGATGTTAGCGTAGTACTCTTCTCCGCCCTGTTTCTTCGTTCTAGGCACGTCAGCGGCGTGCTGTTTGCGCAAGTTGGCCTCGTCAGGCTGCAAAAAGAACTTGGACATGGACAAATTTTGCACGGACGACTTTTTGTTGACGCCAGACTGCTTGGGCGAGGTTGGATCGATCTGAGCCCCGCCAAACTTCTCTGATACAGCAGAAAGCTCGTTGTGAGAGCCCAACCGGGTCAGCGAAAGAGCCGTTTGCACGTTTGTGAGCGACGACAGCGACCTGCGCCCGCCAGCCAACTCCAGGTGGAAGAGGGTCTTGTTGAGGTCGGTCAAAAGCTCCAATTCCTTCAGCTGCAAAATCAGCGAGATCAAGTGCACGTCCTGCTGCTTCGAGCCGTCCAAAAGGGTCAATTTTTTGCCTGGCACCGACGCGTCGGTGCCCTTGCCTCCGAGAAGCTTCTTGACGGCTTCAGCGGCTTCACTATCCAACACAGCCAGGGGCACAATGTAGCCGTCAACAGGGTACGCCTTGAAGCCGAACCGCGAGTACACCGTCTTGATCGCCGAGTAGAGGTACCAGACGTACTTCTTGCCGAGGTAGTACGTGGCCAATTGCTCGTCCACACGGCCCTCCAGGTCCGTGACCATGCTCCGGAAGGACCCCTTTTTGTCCGACAGCTTCTCGAGCTCCTTCTTCAACACCTCCTCCTCGGTGACGGCAATTGCCTTCCGGACGAGCTTCTCCATCAATTTGAGGCCCCTGAACTTCGCCAACGTAAACACAAAACTCAATCTGAGCGCCGTAGCTGGACTGACGCCAAAAGACGCTGGATCTGGAACACCGATTCCGCCAGCAGCGCCGTCTTTGTAGAAAGCCTTGTGTTGCGTGATCACACACACAGAGGCGATCTCGCCCTCCTTGGATTCCAAGTAAAACGCCTTAGCGGCTCTGCCTTTCAAAATGGCATCCACAAGTAGTTTCGCCTGAAACGTGGCAAAACCTTCTGGATCGGGCTGGCCCCATTCGGAGCCGCACACTAGGAACACCTGGTGGAGGATTTTGGGATCTACTGTTGTTTTGAAACGAAAGTCGCTCATTGTAAAAAAACGTGGTTGTAGTAGGAGTAGGTTGATTTCGGTGATGTGTGGAGCAATCCTCGCTGGTGTCAGGGTGCATGACGTATGCAGCCGTGGGGGTGCCAAAAACACGATTAGCGACGGATTAAAAAAATAGAAAGTGGGAAAATGCTGTCTTCTGATTGGCTGGATTTTGGATATTTGGGCAATCCTGCAATTGCCAGGCGTTTTGGCACCCAGCTCGGACCCTAAGCATGCCGTAAGCGCCGACCGTTTCGGCTATGACGTTTTGAGTTAAGCGCCGGTGCCGAATCGGGCTAAACCTGGGGATCCTTAAATTAAAGAATCACATTATCCGTGGATTTCTGGACCTATGAAAAGTTCAAATCTCGATATCGTTATCTATCAATCATGAGGCTCGGTTAATGCGGCGTATGGGGCTCATCGCAGGGTCTCGCTAAAGGTATAGATCAGGCTAGATAAGGCGAGATAGGGTTTTGTCGGCTGGATTGTGTGAACAATGGAATTGGAGGTTTTTGTGATTTTCGTGGTTTTTGGTTTTCTTCAAAAAACGGCATTGAACCTGCCGTAGTTTACCAGTACAGCACAGTGTTACCAGAAACGATCATCCAAATCGAAAACTCAATAACCAATAGAAAGCTAATCACTGCTTTGAAGCCAATCGCCATTGAAAGTCTTTTCTGAACCTTCGCTACTCGTTCCATTGTGTAGCCTATCTCAAAAGTCTCGTATTGTGGCCTAGGCCTGTCAAGTGTAATTAGCGTTGGTTATGAACAAAGGGTGATTTGCTTGTTGCTTGTTTAGCGATTGAGGCTCATCTTCTAAAATTCATTCAAATCTTGATACTCGGCTTCCTTCAAAAAACGTCCTTCTCCTAAGGAATCCACTAGTTCCAATAACCTCAACTAAATCCCAAGAAACCCCCTCCACCCTGACTCTTTCGACACCCCAGAAGTCAACAAAAACCCTGCTTCCGCCTCCCGTGTTCCTAAGCCGACTCTAAACCCTATTGCTCGATCGGCGCCCCGAAACCAGCATAACCTTGCTGTCGATAAAGCAGAACCCTGTAGATCCAGATCATCCACACATCGACGCTTGTGCATCGGGAATGCTGCCACAAAACCAAAATCCATTAATTCAAAAATCATCAGTCCACTCCCTTTCCCATCTCTTCTTGGCTATCCTGATACATCCCCTAGGGAGCTTCTACACAATGGGTACCACCGGACATACACCCGAGGATCGGCATGGC